GTAGGGTTAAAGTATAAATTTTAAAGTATCTCTACTTAGACTCAAATTCTCCCATTTTGCATGTGGTTGATTTCTTAGAAGTGCAATGGATTTATGTCGTTGATTATCGATTTCTATAATGATCAATTATCTCGGTCGGATTAACTAACCCTAATAATTATAAAAACAATTAACACAATGATAATGCTATTAACTATCTAAATAACTAGTATTAAGTTTGTATCATGAGAGATATGATCTACTAATTAACCTCAATGGTGATGATAGTTGCATGGAAGGGTCATCTAATACAGACATGCAGTCTTCCTCATTATAATTCATAATGATATTATCTAACTCAAGGATTTTGTCCATCATTAGCCATAACAGTTTAATGGTCACCAAAAAGTTACGATTCAAGTCAATATAATCAGATTGATCCTTTAGACTGTATAAAACTCATCCATAGGTAAAAAATCAGAACTTTAACACATAAGGGTTGAAGATCAAACAAACATAGTAAATAATAAACTTAATAAATCCAAAGTAGTAATCAAATCATAATAATAGGGGTTCATCTACATCTAAACAAAAGTAAAGGGTAGTATCCCATAATCATGGCTAGAAAACAAAAAACAAACATATCGGAATTCCTAAACATTGTAATAAAGTAGACAGAATGTTGATATAATGATTCCAACTCGAGATCTTTAAAAATGATGCTTTAATGGTGTTCTTCGTCTTCAAGTTAGGTTTCAGTCTTCAAACATCATAATTTTTCTGCTTGCACAAGGATACATATATTCTAGTACTGAGGAGAGGGTTTATATATATATATATATATATATATATATATATATATATATATATAATACACGAAAGAGGCATCATGTAGGCTTATGGAACGCATCGTGTTCCTTCATGTATATGTGTTCTACTCGAAGTCTACAACCTGGACGCGTTGCGTATGAGGTGTTGATGTGACGCGTATATTGAATTTTATTTTTATCTTCACTTTGGTCCTTATCAACTCCATTCAACTCCACTCATCTTCCTTATTCTTCTCAAGTATGAATTTATCTGTAAAATATGAATTCAAAACATATTAAGTATCATTTATCTTCAAATATATCCATTAAGCTCCAAATATTAAGATAACCACAAAATAATATATATAAATATAGCGATATCATATTACTAGGTCCCTTTGATGTTGGGCCAAAGTCCACACCTTCTCTTGAAGGGTTGGATTTAATGTAGTTAGGGCCAATACAGTTTAGATGTTTCCTCTATCTGACCATAACGATTTTCCATGAATTCACATTATCTTTAACCTCTAGAGATTCATTGTCTTCTCTTACCGCATGCGGCATATCTTTCTCCAAATTTTCCACCTGCAACTTCCAAAGTTGTTCTAAGAACCACAGAAGACCCCCTCGGCATACTAAAGGAATTTACTATAGTCGTCTCCCTAAACACCTGATCTCTATTCCTATCATTTTTACTGCCCCGTCTATTAAAGTAGAGCTTCTTCCAAATCATCTTTGGAACTGTGGTTAATCAAGTTGCAAACAACAATATCATAGCCATAACCAATGAGCGTTTGGTGTCTTTTACTACCACTACCTTGTATCTACATCAATCTGTTAATATCAACATCAATTCGTTGATCCAACGATCATGATTTGTGCGAATTCCTTTTTTCTGGTTTTTTGTTTTATTAAGAGATGTTGTCGTCCTCAACATCAACAATAAAGCCCTATACCCTATCAATCTCATCCAAGTTCTTTGCCATCTAAACATGAAAATGGATTCCAAACATGGAGACTAATATGATAGCTTGTTAAACTAAGGTTTTGATGGGCATTCAGTCAAGACTCACCAAAACCATTGTTTTTTAGTGAAAGTTGAACAAACATCCCACCATGTTAGTTTAACTAGATATGGGAGACTCTGAGCCTCCACATGACATCTCAATTCGTTTAATTTCCTTGCTCGTCTACTAGGTTTTACAATGAAACATTTCAATCGAGTTTCACCCTACGACGATGCTTGGTGTTCCTTCATTATCTTGCATTAATTGGCTCTAAAACATAGGGAAGCCATCCAGATGCCATTCAGTCTTTGTTCAAAGCTCTTGATATCCCTAACACCAATGAAATGAGCAAAAACAAGTGAAATTGATCCTGGCCATACCTACTGCATTTTTCTTCTTTGTGATGAATACATCAACAATCTTTTTAGTGGTTAAAAGTCTTTATTCCATACGTTTATTGGCTCACTCTTTTCGGTCTACTACCACCATCGCTACCTCCAATGCTCATTTGTGCATACATTAAAGTTAGTTAAAATTAATGAATGTTGCAAATTTGTTTTTCAATATATGAATAAAATTGTTATTTAGTCGAATCCAAATGGTTTATTCAATCCTTAAAATAAATAAAGTTGTGTATACACTATTTTATGTAGACATACATCATAGTTCTTATTTATATACACCCGTATTAACCTAAAAATTTTATTAATAAAGGAATGACACTAATGTTGTTAAATAATTGTCAGATACAACAAAGAACAATATGGCAACTGTAACACCAGTCAAAATAGGTCAATAACAATCACATGTGATTATGCCAATCCTGTAATGTGATTTTGCTAAACTAGTAATGTGATAAACTTACTATGTAGTTCATGATAAATTCTAATACAAATATGAACTTTCATACATACTTTATGATATAACTCAAAGTATACGTCTATACGATTCCAAAAATATAGAGAACGTCTAAATCTGACTTCGTGTGAAGAAGTTATGATAAACCCTAACACTATAAATCTCTATAATAAGAGGAATTTAAAATAGACTTAGAATTACCTATTGGATTCTAAAAGTAAGTTGTAGTACTTAGAAATAACTACGTGTGGATATAAAGAACGTCAAAAACAGAGTTCGTATGCAAAAGTTACGACCTTCCGAATATGCAGCTGTCTGAGGGCATGATACGTGGCAGAAACCCTAGCCACCTTAAGTCCACGACGTGGACATTAATTCCACGATGTGGAACGTGTTAGGGACACAAATCAGGGCTAGAAAACACGTGTTAAAGCTACGGGGTGACTCATGGAAGTCCACGACGTGGTCATATGTATTCCACAACGTGGAATGGCCCAGAACAGCCTATAAATAGCGATGAAGACCCCTTTCATTCTTTACACCTTCTACTTTTCTTTCCCTCGTTATTCGAAGGCCGTTTCCCTTCCCGATCCTGACAACGACGAGCCTCTGACTATTTAGATTCTATAGATCACGCTACTAGGGTGAGTTTCATGGCCCCACTTTTTAATATTTTCAGGGGAAAACGCATGCTAAATATTGAATACAAGTTAATACTATATTTATATGATAGTATGTTCGTTAATCGGGATATAATTATTTGGTATCTATACAACTATCGTAAACTTGTTAGCATGTTATTGTTATAGTAGTATACTAATGTAGATCTTGAGTTATACTTAGGATTCTATATATATGTTGTGTGCGATATAGTTCCAGAGTCATACTCGGAAGTTCTGTATGTTAATTGATAAGTATGTTGTTATTGTTGGTTTTATGTCAAGATAAAACCTAGTTTTTCCTCAAGTTATAGCTGTTGTACTGCCTAAAGTATTATGAACTTAGGAGTAATGTTTAAAAGCATAGTCTAGTAACTTAGGGTTTTGGACACGAATATGATTTGTTGCTAGAGTTATAGGAAGCCGACAAAGTCTACATGAGCTACCTCATTCATCAACTAAGATTGGGAATCTTAGTGGAAATCCTCTTACTTGTAACCGTTAATCATGTGTGAGCGAGGAAGTTGTGTATGGATCTATGTGGGTTAACGCCCCATCCGTGGTTGTTGGCTACAACCCAATCGGTTTTACGGTGGACTATAGATCTATGCGGGTTGACGACCCTACCCGTGGTTGTTAGCTACAACCCGATGGTCTGCGGGTGACGAACTGTCCTATTGATTGTTATGGACCTGCCATCGATGAAGCGTACGGGGGAAGTATTTACCTTGGTGGAATCTTTTATGGCACCAATGGCGGTTTTATTGTGGCACCAATGAAGGAACCATTGGTGGGATATCTTTTAATCAGAGGTTTGTATGTCTAGCAGCGGTTACGGACTCATGGTAGTACAACTTTAGAAGCATTATACTTTATCGATATACAAGTATGAATGTTAAGTATAAGTTTCCCAAAGACTTATACTCTACGTACAAGGAACTTGTAGGTATACTACTTGCTCATTAAATAGACAATTATACCTAACACACTTACTCGTATAAAATTGAAATATATTTATACATAGCGGTTTTACTCGTATAGAAGTGAAATAGATTTATACGTAGTGTTTTTACTCGTATAGATTTGAAATAGATTTATACGTAGCGGTTTTACTCGTATAGAATTGAAATAAGATGTATACGTAGCAACCTTAGTTTGTATGGGATTACAATCATTTATCCATAATATGTGAAACTTATAGGTATATCACTTATTTAATAAGTAAATCATTATACCTAATATATATACTAAATGTTGGAGAGTCAAAATGATACTTTCAAAACTATAAAAGTATTATTTTATATGAAGTCAAAACCTATGAACTCGTTGACGTGTTTTAAAATGCATGTGTTTTCAGAAAGTTGATAACTATGATACAAGGAATGACGTTACACCGCCCGGTGTTTCCGCCGACGGCTGGGGGTGTGACAGCAATCATGCATTTTCTTGTGGTCAGCAAATTATTCGGAAATATGATCCAGTTATTTTGTTTTATTTTTTAAATCGAAATAAAAGACATCTTTTCTTTTTTTTATAAATAAGAAATTAAGATTCAAACATAGAACAAAATATGAAAACCTAGGTAAAAAGAACTTAGCTAGGAAATGAAATCATGACACGAACTTCTAAAATAATTAACTTAATTTCAACCTACATATTCTAAGAAAAAACTCCATATCCTATATTAATCACGAGTAAAATCTGTAGTCCTTCGCTTGCAATATGATTTGCCGCAATGCTCCGATCGGGGCTAAACACATCAGCAACACCCCAAGAATTATGCATATCTGTACCAAAAAATCAAAACCCAGATAGGAACCTTATTGACCAAAACCCTTCATGAAAAATGAAAATAGTAATAGCCACTTACCCAATTTATAAACCAAGAAAGACCAAACTTCTTGGGCTTTTTGATGGCTAGCCACATGATACAAGGAAGCTGGTAAAAAAAGCACACCAAATTCTATATCAATATATCATCACTTTAATTTTGGTTTGATATGATTGATAAGATATTCAATTGTACACACTGTATAAGAATGAACTGAAATGTACTCACAAAATATGTAGTGGGAGCAAAAGCAAAGCCTCCAAAGAAACCCAAGAGCCCTCCAAAAAATGGGAATGTTATAGCAAGGAACATGGTCAAGGCTGCCCAACATTAACATCACTTAAGCACTAAATCAAAATATCTCCATAAATATTATCACCCAAAAGAGTTATATATGAATCTTACCAACATAAGAAGTTCTTGACACAAATCGTAGGAATTTGGTGGGCTTAAATTTCATCTTTACAACCAAAAAATACTCCACCATATCAAATACCGGCATTGCAAAAACCTACAACATTGATCAGATAATATACATAATCAGCATACGTAGAAATAGGTATAAATGATGATCAAGACTATGGGAAATACCTGATAGCTTCCGATAACATGAATAACAACAAATAAGTTTGCAATAACAACAATAACAGGAGGGCGTTCAAGTGAAATTAGGACATTGTCTTCAACAGTGTTACCGAAAACCCAGTATCCGATCATTGCTACAGGAAAATAACACAAAGCCACCACAATATACGCGAAAACAACCCCTCTCCACATGGGTTTCTTGGATGGGGTTTCAGGTGTCGAAGGGATTGTTGCTTGAATCTCCAAAACAACGTTATGGCCAGCAAAGGCAAAGGCTACATCGCCTAATGCGCTCAAGAATCCAAACGTTTGGCCAGTGGTGGTTGAAGCCTTTGGCGTATACTTAATACCGGGTTGAGTCCCTCTGCGTACTGAAGCCATCCATGCTATCGTTGAATAACTGCGTACACAGTTATAAGTATCAAGAAAATATTTATATAAATTAGGTTTTACATGTAAAGTATTTTACGCATGTACCAGAATGACATAATGGCGGCAAGGAATGAGACGCCTGTGATGGAGTTGAAGTTGGGGAGGTGGGAGAGGAAGAACTGGACAGCGGCGAACATCATGATGTAATAGGTGGTTTTGATTGGTGGACCACCGTGAGGTGATAAGGTGTCAACAGCTTTCTTGAGGGACTTGCCGCCGGTGACCATGTAGACGATGTTTACACCAACCTCGACGGTGAGTTGTTGGGGAACTACCACCCAAAGACCGAGCTTCTTGCCAAAGGCTTCTTGGCCTAGCTCGTGGTATCGATCGAATCGTTTCCCAGGAACACATTCATGCATCTCCACCATTTGCCATAAGGTGTAGAGAGTTATCACCCATGATAAAACCATTACAGTAATTCCAGGACCCCTGAAAAGAGCACAATTAATGAAAGTTATATATAGCCCGAAAAGAAATAAAGATTTGGTAAAACTTTATATTTTTTGTATGTGCTCATAATGTGTTAAGTGATTAGGTTTAGAATAAGAGAAGTTTATGAAGAACATATATATATATATATATACCATCCGAGTTCGGACATGGCGTAGGGGAGGCCGAGAACCCCAGCTCCGACCATGGCAGTGACATTGTGGAAAGCGGAGTACCACCACTTAGCATTCCTAGACGACGTGATAGGCAGCCAATCGTTCAACGATTTCTCATCATCGGCTGTTTTTGTTGTCGCAGTTGCCATGGTTGCAGAGAGAGAGAGAGAGAGAGAGAGAGAGAGAGAGAGAACAGCAAGATAATGAAGGAAAAGCAGGAGAAGTTTGTTACTTAAAAGCGGTTTATTAGGTTTTAAGGTTTGTTGATACCATTATACATAACGTTATCCCCATCCAATTCAGATTTTTAAGTAACCTAATTATCCAAATAAACTTATATTTATCTATATAACGATATCCTTCTTTTTAAGTTATTGGCCGAACATTGTGTCACACCCATGATACGACTCAACATTAAAATAAACGGGTTTGAGTTGAAATTTATAACTTTCCAATCCGTCAAATAAACGTGTCTTTTCGGGTTAGTATTTGGGTTTACTGGTCAACCCTCAACCCGTGTAATTTTATTTATGTATTATTGGTAAAGGGTATTATTGCTTTAAAGCAGCTCCTCCAAAGGTGGTTCGCCATTTCGTGAAGACTCAAAAACATATTGCCTTGCATTTGAACGCGGAGTTGCATAACCTCCTCCTAGCCATCCTGAAATAAGCCTGAGAAATTGGAACCCAAGACCTCCATGAGAATATTCACCGTTTTAGTTATACGACTTTGTCTATCAGCCTACATATGTTGTGTGCCCTAATCAAACCAATCTTCACTATTACGCAAATAATATTTGGGTTCATGAGTCAACCCACGAACTCGTGAATTCTGACCCATGAACCTGCGAATCCGTATGACTGAAAGGGTTAGACGAGTCTTATATATTTAATGTGTCCAACCCGCCAACCCGTGACATAAATAATTATATGGGTCGCGTATAGGGTGATGTATTCTAACCTACCAACTTGAATCTGACATGATTGTCACCCGTACCCTACATGTAAGGTAGGAATCATGATATGTCCCTTTTGTCTTTAACAAGATAATTACACACCTTGTTCCCGATTCTACTTAAGGATGGATATGGAAAGATACAAGGGAAAGTGAGGGATGTCGAAGGAAAATCTTGTTCCCGAGTTTCATTAATGGAAGGAAAGTGAGGGGAGGGAAAGGATTTTGGAGCTATATGTTCCTTCCAAATTTTCCTCCCAGATTGAACGGATTTGGGAAGAAAGTGAAGGAAATGAAAATTTTAAGTTTATTTTGTTTTTCCTCCTAACCCGGAAACAAAAAAACTTAAAATTTTCCTTTCATTTCCTTCGAACCCGGAAACACGGAATAATGAATATTTTTCATCCTCTCCCTTCCTTAATTTTTGTCAAAATTTTCCTTTAATTTCCTTTATTGAATTAAAAAAAAAAAAAAAAAAAAAAAAAAAAAAAAAAAAAACTCAGGGAACAAAACGTAAGAGTTTGAAAAGCATGTATAAAAGGAGTGTTTGTATGCTAGTTTTAAATATTAAGTTATTTTAATCCTCGTTTTGCTTAGAACAAATATAAACTCATTAATTAAAATCATAGTATTTCAAAAAGAGTGTTTCCTTTCATGAACTTTCCTTATTTTGGGCTTCCTAATGCGAGTGCGCCAGGGTTTTAAAAAATCATCCAAAGACGATATCACTCTTTTAAAAAGAATATTTTACCGAGGTTGAGATTAAAATAGTTGTGTGGGAACGCGGCCAAAATAAAACACCGAGTCCGGAGGCAGTCATGTTGTAATTATTTTGTTACTAGGTGTGCGACCCGTGTAATACACGGGTTGATTATATATATATATATATATATATATATATATATATATATATATATATATATATATATATATATATATATCAAATTGTAAATATTAAACATTTTTTAAAATAAAATTTCAAAATTAATACAAAAGAATCAACACAAAACAAATACAACGATTGGGGTGTAATAATTAATTTTATGATTTAATTTTAAATAATAATAGTGATGGTAATATGATAACAATAATTTACTAAAAAGGTTTTCAAAGTCAACAACATATGGACCAAAATGTATACCAAACCTTGTAAAATAGACTAAAAATAAAAAAGGATTCAATTTTGGACAAAATACGTAAAAATCAGAAAGCATGGGGACACTATTTTAATTTACTTTAAAAGAAACATATAAATTATGTGGTACAACCCCTGTCGCCATGAGATAATTAACTTTACTAAGGGTAAGAAAGATGGTAATTTATTGATGCTACTCCAACAATATGATTGACAACTGTTGAAAGAAGTTACTAATTTTGGTGTCAAACTTAAACATTAATTTATAAAGAGTTCAAGGTAAGTTTTATATTTATGTATTAGTGTAGGGGTGTATTGTGAAAGTTTTGTGCAGGTGAAGTCGGGTTTATGTGCGGGTCATCAATCGGGTTATGGATGTATCCATGGTATGTGTAACCCGGGTATATAGCTGGAGGCTGCTCATGTTTGGCTCATTCAGATCTAAATATTTTTAGAATACTTTATTTTTCTCTCGTTCTCTTATCATCTATATAGGGTTTGTTCATGTTCGAGGGTTTGTTCATAGATCTTACAGATTTTTATATTGATGATAGTTACATATGAGTGTGAGTACATTTGTAGTAAGGTTTCAGTTGTAATTGTTGATGCATAAACCATCTGTTTCATGTTTTGAATGAAATGATGAAGTTGGGAAATCTTCAAGTTGTTTAGATTTTTAAGATGGTATCAGAGCTATAGGCTTCGTTTCTTTTCTTACAACGTTCGGCGTGATTGTTCGTCGATTGATCGTTGAGGGTTTTCTCCTGTTCGTCTCTTGATCGTTGAGGTATATTCAGACCTTTATTTTTGTGTTGTTCGTTTTTTAATCTACTCGTTGTTGATCGATCTAAGTGTTTCTCTGAACTCTTACATCGTTGATTCATCAACTGTTGGTCGTTCGATCTGATTTAGGGTTTTCTCCTGTAAAATCAAATCGAACGTTTCTTTGGTTTTTTCTTTTCTAGATCCTAGTACTGTGAGACTTGTTTATGTTATTGCAGGTCTCGGTTGTGGGGTTCTTGTGGTTTGTGACCGGTATATCTTCTGTGAAGTGTTCGTCGATCAGAAAAACTAGTCGATTAATCTTCTTGTCCGAAATAACTCTCTAGGGGTCGGATTTTATCACCGATAAACCCTAGTAGGGAACGGACAAGGAGAGTCGATTCCTTCTTGCTGTGTCTCAACGCACTGTGAGGAGTTTCTTGTTCCTTTCTCTCTATTTCTTTTATATATTTGTTCTCTCTATTTCTTTTATATATTTGTTCTCTCTATTTCTTTTATATATCTGTTTTGGGAGATCCTGGTGTCTTGCGTACACCAGTTATTGTTCTTGCTGTTTTCTGTTTGTTTTGTTCCTTTTGTACTGGTGTCTTGGGCCCCGTCATACGTGGTGACCATCTGGACTTAATATCAGTGCAGAAGTGAATTTTTTGTTTCCTTGTGTGTGTTCTATATGGTTGGTGGTCCTACTGATCCACCTGGTGGAAGTGGAAAGGATGATCAAGTTAATTTTGATGATCCTCTTTACATCCATCCTTCTGATAATGTTGTTACATCCATTATTACAACAAAATTAACTGGAAATGAAAATTTTAGACTATGGAGAAGCTCTATTTCTAGAGCTCTTAAGGCCAGAAATAAACTAGGTTTTGTAGATGGTACGTTTAAAAGAAGTAATGTTGATGTTCCCAAACATTCTAAGTGGGATAGGGCCAATGTTGTTGTTTGTTCTTGGCTTCTGTCTTCTATTTCTGATTCCATTTATCAGAGTCAAGCTTATTCTGAAGTTGCTGAAGAAATTTGGGATAGTCTTTTTGAAACATATAATAAATTTGATGGGTCAATTGTGTTTAACATTCATCAGCAGATTAATTCTCTTAAACAAAATGGTGTTTCTTTGTCAGATTACTTCAATAAGCTTGATTCTTTATGGAAGGAGTTTGATGGTCTTACTAGTTTAACTAAGTGTACTTGTGATGCTTCTGTTAAACTCAAAGATCACTCTAATCTCATGAAACTTATGCAGTTTCTTTCTGGTCTTGATGATTTTTATAGTCAGGTAAAAAGTCACATTTTGTTAATGGATCCTTTGCCCACTGTAAAGACTTCCTTCTCTATTGTGTCAAGAGAAGAATCCCTTCAAAAGAATGGGTCTTTGACTTCTTTTCAGTCGTCTCAGTCAGTAACTAAGACTCAGCCCACTGCTTTTAATAGCAGATTTAATAACAGACCTAATACTAACAAAAATAAGAGTCAAACTGTTCAATGTAAGAACTGTGGTATTAAAGGCCACACTGTAGAAAAGTGTTATAAGTTGATTGGATATCCCAAGGGTTTTAAACCAAGAAGTGAAAATAGTAATCAGAATAATTTTGTGAAAAACTTTTCTGCTAATTCTTCTACTACTTCTTCTGGAAATGGAAGTACTTCTACTTTTTCTGATCCTAATGGGGAATCTGAGTTTCATCAACTCACTAAGGATCAATATGTCAAGTTGTTACAACTGATTGGTGACAGACATGTCAATGAAGAGGCATCTGTTAGTGCTAATATGGCAGGTACTTGTTTATTTCAAGCTTTTAATGCTTCTGTTAATTCACCAAATTTGGATTGTTGACTCAGGGGCTAATCAACATATGATTGCTTCTTAGTCACTTCATCATGACACTCTGGATGTGTCAAAGTTAGATTTGGTTGTTAGTCATCCTAATGGTACATCTGCTAAAATTGACAAAATTGGTAATATAAATTTGTCTAACTCTTTAACCCTGTTTGATGTATTTGTTGTTCCTGGTTTTAATGTGAATCTATTATCTGTTCATAAGGTTTGCAAAGATAGTAATTGTGAAGTTGTGTTTAATGAACATAGTTGTAAAATTCAGGGTTTACAGTCAAAGGTGATGGTGGGGAATGGTAGAGAGTCTGGAGGTCTCTATTACATAAATAGTGTACCTTCAGGTATTTCTTCTAGTCTTTCTAAGTCCTCTTCTGTTTGTTGTGTGTCCAAACTGACTTGGCATCATATACTTGGTCATCCTTCTGATCAAGCTCTGGGTGTCT